CCCCCTCTTACAATGCTGTGATTGCTAGTATCACTCAGCCCTCTGTGAACAGTAAACAGCCATCAGTGTGCTAATGATCCTTTGTTAGGCTGATGGTCCTTCTTGAGCATGTGATCAGCTGGTTTTGGTTGTCAGCAGCAAAACTGGTTGATCCACTCTGAGACGGTGCTATTTAAGAGACTGAGCTGAATACAGCTCCTCAGACTGAGGAAGTTTCTCGGATGAGAGACGAAACGTTTCTACATTTTTTTGTTGATTTGCTTTTTTTTTTTTTTTTTTTTTTTTTTTTGAATGTCCAGAGGACCAGATTTAACTTTTTTAGATTTTTCTACCTGGATTATTGAGCATGCATCAGGACAACCGCCTTTTACTTCATGCATTGTATGTGACACAGCACCCCCAGAGGTGAACCAGAGCACTACACTGATCCACCCCACACTGTTTGAACAATCATTGCGTACATTTTGCAATTTTGATCATTGAAGTGTTGAAATAATTCATAAAACAGTTTTATAGAACAGTTTTATAGAACAGTCAAGTGGTCAAATATTATTATAAAATATATTTTCTCTTATCATTGTAAGTATTTTACTTGTCATGATGACAGGTGCCTTCCCTGTTTCCTCTGACTGCACGCCACTGCTTCCAGTAGTGATCAAACACTATTTTATGTGTTTGAAGACTTGAAGAAAGTTAAACAAGTGCTTATCTAAAGTTGAACATGAGCAAAACATCATATATAAAGAGTGTTTTATTCTGACTTTTTGTTTCAGCAGTAGAACATATTTCATTCAAAAACAGGCCAGGAGCAAAGAATACACGTCTGTGTATGAGTCCAGTTGAATATAGAGATCTTCCTGACAAACATAAATGATTGAGGAAGCTCCTGGAGCATGGTGTTTCTTTCTTCTTCTTCTTTTGTTGCAGCTTGATTCACACCTGCACAGCCTCTGTGGCAGCATGTTCTGCGATGGTCGTCTGTTGCACGGCGGGAGTATTTGGGGAAGATTAATTGCTCTGTCCTGTCAAGGGTGCGCTCAAACCAGCGGGGTCCTCTGCATATGTAAATACGAGCAGTCTCAGCACAGCAATCTAGAGCAGCATTAACACGAGCCTTCAGCCCTGCTCTTAAATCCTCTCTGGAAGCTCTGCCATGCAACGTGTTGTGGAGCCCAAACATCGCTTTCTTTTCTTCTCATTTTAAATTAATTCACCTTGTCATAGCAGGTTTCTTACAGAGAAGATGAAAATTACAAATGTATGAAAGTTATCTAAGGTTCGATCTACAAACATGGCGCTGAGATGTTAACAGGATAAATTCCTTAAAGAAAAAATTGCCAAACAAAACACATTTTTTGAGAAACGCGCATTTCGGATCAAAAAGATACTTTTATGTAGAGGGTTTAGTTTGTTCCCAAAAGTAAAATGAGCCTGTAAAACACTTTATTTTAACATTATGGGCCACAGTGGATCCTTTAATATAATTTCAAATGTGCCAAATTATAAATGAAATGGGAGAGAGAGAGCAAATCACATCACAACAAAACGATGAAAGATTTTTGGGCATCTTTGAAAATTAAATGACTAACAAGGTCCGCACAGACAACCCTTCTCGTTGACAAGTGTTACTCCTTAATTCCGTTGGCTATTACACATAAAGTTGATGCTTTGTGGCAGGTGAGAAATTTAAGGGTTCTCCGTTATTAGGAAATGGCAAAGAAAAAACTGCAAATTGCCACCGTTTTCTGAGGATGACCTCTGCTGAGACTATGTCTTCTGACAGGTTGCTTTGATATCATTAGCTTCAACGCTCTTAATGTGCCTCTGTTCTCCCCAACAAGACACGCCAAATATTGTGCTTGAGCTTAGACAATTTTAAACTAACACACTTGTTGATTTATTAATTTTTTTAATGGAGAAAATGAACACCGGGGAATGGAATGAGTTAGTTCAGACAACTCGAGCTGCACTGATGCTGCTCACATGATCTGAAACTCCAAGCTTAGTTTATGAAGATGGGTTGAAGCTGCAAACCTTCCTGCATATTGACGCTGCTGCTCACCGCTTGCTTCTTTTCAACTCCTTCACTAACCCAGCATCCACCTGAGCTCTGAGGTCGATGACACTTTTTGGTATGTAGGGAGATACGGTCTGTGGAGTGAGGGGGGGGATTGTTTCATTACTTTGTGGCATATTGAACAACTTGATGCGACCAGCACCTAAACAGAAACTCAAATGATTAATTTCACAATAAAATCATTGAAACATGCACTTATGAGTTGTCTGACTAAAGTTTGGAACCTGGCTGACAAGCATTTTTTAATACAATTACTTTTTTTTAATTAAAGCTATATTAAATATGTGGGTTATGTAGGAGTTCATACATGCCACAGCAGATTAACAAGTGATCTGCAAAGTAAAGTGACTCTTCTGCAGGTCCAGGCATCTGCAAAAAAAAAGTACCAGAATGTGAAGACTTCAAACATTTGATTTGTTGGAACAAGGAGAAGATGTGTTATAATACTGACAATATGCTGCAGTTAAGCTGTTAAACTGCTGTACAGTGGTTGCTCAATACTTTGCGGTTCGTTTTTCGCTGACTTGCTCTATCGCGGTTTTTCAAAGTAAGATAGGACAGGACACAGTTGGCTGAATGATGGATGAGCCGCATGATCGGCATGGATTTTTTATTTGAAATACAAATTATTTATAATGATTTAGCACCTGCTGCACCTTTGTGCAGCCAACAGCTGCAGGAGAAGCTTCCTCCTGCAGCGTATCATGTGATCTCCTCTCTGCAGCGAGGAAGTGGGCGTGGCTGAGAGCAGCAGAGGCAGGAAGCTGAGATCATAACATTCTGTGCTCTTTTAGAGTGTTTAGAGTTTCGTAACATTGTTTAGAATATTGCAAGTGTGGGAAGGGTTTAAAATTACACACACACACACACATATA